TCAGGGTGTTCACGCCCTCGAGTGCCTGCACTGTGTAAGGGTGTTCACGCCCCCGAGTGCCTACACTGCATCAGGGTATTCATGACTTTGGCCACACACTAAAAACAGCCTCCTGGAGCCTTGGCCAGGGAGCTTAACCATAGCCATCTTGGCCTCCCCAAAGGCCACTAGTAAATAATAGGGTCAAGTTTTCAACCCAGACTAGCTCCCTGGCCCAGGCTTTTAGGGTGCTACACTGCCCAGGATTTCTCCTGGCCACACTCATGGGTCACAGCCACATAGCTGACTGTCACTAGATCAGGTTTATCAACTGGAGCTTTTGAGATGACTTCTTTGTATGTTCCCTTTTTTAAGTCACTCAGTTGTATGTCAGAATTCTTAAATCTTATTGTTTATTTCCTTGAACATAGTCAGCATGATTCATTTAAAATTTCTGAGAAGTTCATTATTATACACTCATTTTCTCTTATCTGTTTTCCTCTTAGTGTTTGTACATATTGTCTTTTCTCCTCATGTGCCTGAGTATTTTTAATCATGTAGCAGACATTATACGTGAGAATTGAGGTGATAATTTGAGGACTAGGATGATATTGTTCTTGTAGGCAGCTAGGGTGTGCCTACAGATTACCTTAATCCAATCAAGATTACTACTAGTCAGGGCTTCATTTCCTCCGTGTTGGATTTCATTTTGTTATATCTGACTTTTTTTTTCCCTTTCTTGTGACACTGCTCTTCATTACTAATAGGACCACGTGGAACCTCTCAAATTGGAGGCCACTTACAGGAAACCTTTCCGATTCTAGGTTCTAGATTCCTAGTTTCACGCACTCAATGCCCACAGAGGAGTAATCTCTATGGATTTAGAATTATAATGCTGATAAGTCTTATTTTTTTAACATTTATTTTAAATTTTAAAATGTGCAGTCTCTTTCACACACCTCATTTAATTTCGTCCTCAGGATAATGCTCTTTGATAGGCCTTCTTATTTTTGATGTTTGACAGTTGAAGAATCTGACTTTACTAGGCCCAAGAGGTTTATCCATTGTTATACATCCAAGTGAGAGAGAACAGACTTTTCTTTATTTAGCGTTTGGCACATTAGATTTTGCAAAATTCCATGAGCCTTAGCATCCTCCTCTCTCTGCTGGGGACTCATTTGATGACTTGGAGGACACTCGTTGGCAGGTAGAGCATTTTTACAGGGATAGTTGCTGCTGAGCATGGGTCACATTGGTGGATACAAAAGAGAAGTGTTCAAGTGACGGGCACTTTCTCAAAAACATTGAAAACTAGAGGACTGAAAATTGAGTGACTCCTTGATCCTGCCCCTTGGAAATGATGGCCGGGGGACAGTGTCCTGTCACCCATGGCCATGGATCCAGGCAGGGCCAGAGCAGCTCTGCCTCTTCCTTCTTGGGAGTGACTACTTACTGCCTGGAGAAGGGCCCTACATTGTGTGACT